CTCTCTGGACGTAGAACGAAGAAGTGGCTGAGATAATGAGCATCACTCTTACTCAAGGGATTTTCACTGGGAGGGATAGCTTCCACATAACCTTTCTCAATTTGGTCAGCAATGGTGTTTGCATAAGGTGTCCAAAGATTCAGTTTGAGGAACCTCTTCTTTACTTGTTGCAGATGGCTGTGAGCAAGGTTGAAGTTGGAAGGTAGAGGAGGGTGATTGTCCAACCACAGCAGTGGAACAAAGTAGGTTCCATCACGGTATGTGATTTGGGATTGGAAGCGCTCTTGGAAATCTTCCTCTTGACTGGTATCCCTGGGGTCCTCTTTTCCTAGTGTCTCAATTTTAAAGAAATCTACAACTTTGTTGTGGACCTCAAGATCCTTTGCACAAGTGTAACTATACCATTCACTGTCACCAAATGAAAAGCTGTCAAGGGAGTGACCTGCTGCAAGACACTGTGAAGCTGTTCGGGAGTCAATGGTACTGTCAGTGGTTGGAAAGAGTCTTCCAGAAATTAGATATCCCAGACTCTTGAGCAGTAGGGTAGCCATAGATGACATCAGGTTTCAGGAACTGCCACACTGCATCCAGACCAATAAGAATTTGAACAGGAAATTGGGTCTGACTGAAGTCATCTGCAAGCTGAAGACTGGTGATGTGAGGAGATTTGAGGCTATAGGCCCAGCTGGTGCGATCAATAGGAGTGATGATAACATCTTTGATTGCTCCCTCATCTGTCCTGATGTTGACTGATCCTACTGGGTAGATATTAATGGAAGAAGCCCCAACAAATGTCTTAATACGCACAGTCTTGCTGCAGTGAGGTTTAATGCAGAGTTCCTTAGCTAACTGTGTGGTGATGTATGAAAGAGACGATCCTTCATCAATAAATATGTTTGCTGTTTTAGTGATTTCACCATTATTGACTGAAGTGACAGCAGTTTTCAGAATAATTGCGTTAGACTGACTGTGGAACGAAGTCACGGTGTTGTACTCTGAAGGGGAAGAGTACAAAGTCTCATTTGGATTGAGCCCATGCTCAGAGTAGTGGTAGGCAAAGCTTGATGGGAGGGTGGGAGTGATGGTTGGTTCACCATGCAGTGTGCTTTCTGAAGCAGGTGAGGCATGCATACTGATTGATGCAGGAGGGGAAGTCAGTGACAATTGAAGACCTGAAGCTCCATGAACTGTAGTATGATGAGGTTGCCGACAAACTGAACATCTGAACTGCGATTGACACTGAGTTGTAGCATGACCCCCTTTGAGACAATTGAAGCTCAACTGTTTGGATTTAACTGCAGAGATTCTATCCTGGATAGAAAATTCACATTGAAATGTATTCTGGGTACTGGTAGACCCACAGAAGCGACATGGAACTTTCTTTCCCCTGTTAAACTGTTTTAACTTCTTTGATTTATACTGATCAGAAGGGGTTACTGCTGTAGGAAGTACAGTGGCAGCACCCGGTGGAACTGGTTACTGCTGCAGGAAGTGCAGTGGCAGTACCCAGTGGAACTGGTTACTGCTGCAGGAAGTTCAGTGGCTGTACCTGGTGGAACTGTTGCACTCAAGAAACCATTGATAGGAGGAACCTTGGGCAATGGAGGTTTTGAAGAAGGTGGAGCTTTTGGAGGATATGGAGGTTTGGGTTTGCATGGTTGGTTGTTATTACTAATATAGACAACTTGCTCAAGCCTTTTAACTTCATTGTGTATCATCAGAATTAGTTGGT